ATAATAATTAATTTTTTTTTTCATTTTTACCTTTATTTATAATTAACTAAAAAAATTTTAATGTACTTTTATCTCTTTTGAGATAATAGTAAATTGAAATATTAACATTTAATGTGTTACTAAATAAAAAAAAAGGACAATTTAATTAAACCATCTATATTTAAAAAGTGAGACTAACAGAATGACATAAATCATTTTATTAAATAAGTTAATGCATATACAATATTATAAGTCTTAATTAATTAAAAAATTAATTATTAAATAATATAAAATTATTTTTTAATATTTTAAATGATATAATTTATATCGTATTATTTATCTGAAATTTTGGTCCAAAAAATTTGGTTGCCTTTACCATTACCCAATTAAGTAGTACAAATGTACCGTGCATCTCAAATGTCCTATAAAGTTTGTTGATTGGATAAGAGCCTGCATTACAACACCAATGTTCTCTGTAGTGTTTAATGGACATTTAGCAGGATATTTTCCAGGGAAAAAGGGGGTGAGGCAAGGTGACCCTTTATCACCCTATATATTTGTGATTTGTATGGAGATACTCTCTCGTTTGCTAAACAAAGCTGCCATAGAAGGAAAGATTATGTACCATCCCAAATGTGCCAAAGTGCAGCTTACACACTTATGCTTTGCTGATGATCTAATCATTTTTACAGATGGTGCATCATCCTCTTTAAGTGCTATTAACAATGTTCTCACTCAGTTCTATCAGTTATCTGGTTTGAAGGTTAATTATTCCAAATCTGAGATTTTTTGCTGTGGCATATCTAGTGAGGAAATTAAGAAATTAACAGCAGCTTATGGGTTCAAGGCTGGTGTCCTCCCAGTAAGGTACCTTGGAGTGCCATTAATCACAGGAAAATTGACAGAGAAGGACTTAAAGCCTCTGGTTTCAAAGATAACAGAAAGAATGAGCTCTTGGGCCTCAAAGCATTTATCTTTTGCTGGTAGACTACAGCTTATCTCTTTTGTCATCCAGGGAATAACGACTTTTTGGTGTTCTACCTTCATATTACCAAAGAAGGTTATAAAGGAGGTTGAAAGGTTATGTGCTGCATTTTTATGGCAAAGCTCAACTGAGTCTGCAAGAGGGGCTAAAGTGAATTGGCTGTCATTGTGTCACCCTAAGCAGGAGGGTGGTCTGGGTTTGAGGAGTTTGACGCATTGGAATGTAACATGTATTATGCGATTTATTTGGATGCTCTTTACAAAAGCTGGATCTATTTGGGTGGCCTGGGTCCATGAATATCTGTTGAAGGGCTGTAGTTTCTGGTCTATAAGAGTTCCTTCTGATGCATCATGGGGTTGGAGGAAACTCCTCAATCTTAGACAGCAAGCTAGGAAACTTATTAAACACATTCCAGGTGATGGAAAAGACATCTATTTGTGGCATGATAACTGGCACCCTTCAGGGCCTCTAGTTGAAAATTTTGGTGCACGAATTGTCCAAGATTCTGGGTTTTCTTCCCAAGCCAAGCTGGAGGTAGTGGTTAATGGTAATTTTTGGAAATGGCCACCAGCTCGCTCACCTCAATTGCTGGACATTCAAATTGCTTTATGTGACAAACTATATCCTAAGGAAAGGGACCAAGATACTGTTATATGGATCCCTTCAGCTTCAAGGACATACACTGCAGGGAGAACATGGCACTGGATCAGAAGTAAGCAGTCCAAGGTTCCTTGGCATAGGCTGGTTTGGTTTTCTCGGCAAATACCAAAACATAGCTTTATTAGTTGGCTAGCCATATTGGACAGGTTAACAACCAAAGCAAGGCAGAAGAAATGGTCCCCTAACATAGATGACACTTGTGTTCTATGCAACAATGGATCAGAAACTGTTGAGCACCTCTTCTTTAAGTGTAGTTATGCAAAATGTGTGTGGAAGAGTTTGAGTGCCATGTCTGAAATTCCTTATCTGGAGTCTTGGCAACAGCTTGTGTTATGGATGGGGAAACGAATAAGAAGAAAGTCTTTGTATCAGACACTCATCAAGTTAATGTGGAATGCTGCAGTCTACCATGTTTGGATGGAAAGGAACAG